ATTCAATTACAACCAAAAAAGTGCTACAACATTCTTGTCAGACTATAATTTTACATAATTCTTATGATTGTCGGAAAATATGTAAACTAAACAATGTCATCTTGACAACGTCATCTGACCAATGATGAAGCGGCATTTGCACAATCTCATCTTGACAGTGTCATCTGACCAATGATGAAGCGGCATTTGCACAATCTCATCTTGACAGTGTCATCTGACCAATGATGGATCGTCATTTGCACAATCGCATCTTGACAGTGTCATCTGACCAATGATGGAGCGGCATTTGCACAATCGCAACTTGACAGTGTCATCTGACCAATGATGAAGCGGCGTTTGCACAATCTCATCTTGACAGCGTCATCTGATCAATGGATGGAGCTTTATTTGCACAGGACGATGCTGCCATTATTTTATTTTCGAAATTCCAGAAAAAATCGTGTGGCGATTTAGTTTTAATTTGTAATATCAGTTGTAAGATAAAGTTGACATGTAACGAATAATTATTAATGTACTTTATGCTGAATATAATTATAAAGAAATGTAAAACATCGTGTTTTCTTGAAAAATCCATTATCGGTATCAATTTTTGATTCAATCAATTTGAATTAAATTCATAATTATGTAGCCTATGTGTTCTTCCAGATTGTAACAGTGGTAGAACCCGCTTTAACATCTTCGCATGAATTGGCCCGGTTCGCCCGGTGAAATACCACGACCACACAGAAGATAGGCGTGAAGTGGAAGCAATTCCGCGTTTCCTCTGATGAGTGTACGTCCCGAAGGCCTAATTTAGTCCTCTTTCCTTTCCCACCCTTTTTCATATATCATAAGGTGTCAAACGAGCGAGCGGTCACCTGAAATCGCCGAAATAGCGAAGGGGCCCTTGCCCATAGACATACGCAATTGCATATGCGTTGCCTACCTTTAATCGACGGAGGAAAGGATGCACAGAAAGAATATATTTTCCCTTTCCATGCATCCTCTCATCCGGAAAGTCCACTTCCACTTCCCATCCTTTCCTTGTAAGAAATAGGATGGGAAGGGAAAGAGAACTAAATAAGGCCTCCGGGACGCACACTCATCAGACGAAACGAGGAATTGCTTCCACTTCACGCCTGTCTTCTGTGTGGTCGTGGTATTTCGCCGGGCAAGCCGGGCCAATTCGTGCGAAGATGTTAAAGCGGGCTCTACCACTGTTAAAACCTTTTATTTTAAGTTTGTTGCAACGAATGTCATTAGTAGATTATTCAAATAACAAATCGGAATCAATCGGCGTTCGGATAATCGGCGTTCTACTGTATTTATTTCATTTTTTTCCAAAAAATCTACAGCTTTCTTACAAATTTGTACAGAATAATAATAATTTTTGAACACAATCCTCAATGATTTTATACTTTTTAGTTTAGAAAAAAAATAAAGCCGCTAGTGGATGTGTGTATGACTGTGAGTGTGTGTTGGTATGTATGGATGTGTGTATCAAATCAAAATGTATCCAATGCATGCAATGTAACGTATTTAATTATAGCATAATTAAAAAGAGCCAGACAACCTCCATTGAAATGATTAGCAAAAAACGAAACTTTTTTTTAAAATACTAATATCTTACTAATATTATAAATGCGAATGTCTAGATTGATGTATGGATGTTAGAAGGTATCTGCAACACGACTGCATGGATCTTGCTTTGGCATAGAAGTAGAACATAGCCTGGGAGAAAACATATGCTAATAATTTAGTTTTTCTTTTAGTTCCGCACAGACGGATTTGCGGGCGACAACTAGTAATATAAAAAATAGATTGATGTTTGTTTGAAAGTGTCTCTGGAACGGCTCAACGGATCTTGATGAATTTTGTCATAGAAGTAGAATGTAGCCTGGAAGAATACATAGGTTACTTACAAAGTTTATTTTTATAATATCGCGCAGACGGAGACGCGAGCGACACCTAGTATTATAAATGGAAGAATTTGAAATTTAAATTTAATTGAATAATTAATTTGACGGCGCCTCCGTCAATTAAGCAACTAGTTAGTAATAAAACCGACACGTGCTCTTCCGTAACCCCATACTATAAAGTCGCTCGATTACTTATTAAGATAACTAATCGACTTTAAGTAACTCATAATTGTAGTGTTTTTGGTATTCGTTTTTGTAGCTGATGTGAGGTAAATCATTTAATTTTTAAATAAAATTATATTTATCTCTTATTATTGTGGAATATGAGTAAGTTTGAAATTAGTGCCATTGATCGAGAAATTATGTTATCGTGGTTTGGACATGTTATGTGGTAAGATAACACAAATAGAAAAGTAATAAAATTATATGTCATTTCACAAAAGTAAAGGAAGACCGAAGAAAGTTTTTTATATCATTAGGTGGCAAACGAGCGAGCGGCCACCTGAAATCGCTGATGTAGCGAAGTGACCGTTGCCTATAGACATACGCAATTGCATATGCGTTGCCTACCTTTCATCGACGGAGGAGAGGATGCACAGAAAGAAAATATTTTCCCTTTCCATGCATCCTCTCATCCGGAAAGTCCACTTTCACTTCCCATCCTTTCCTTATAAGAAAAGGGTGGGAAGGGAAAGAGGATTAAATTAGGCCTCTGGGACGCACACTCATCAGACGAAACGCGGAATTGCTTCCACTTCACGCCTGTCTTCAGTGTGGTGGTGGTATTTCGCCGGGCGAACCTGGCCAATTCGTGCGAAGATGTTAAAGCGGGTTCTACCACTCTTGTATGGATTGTGTGAGGATATTAGTACAAAGGGAGTGGATTCAGATATGAGTTGATAGTGATGTATGGAGTTCATGTGCCGACCCTACGTAGGGATAATTGATGGCCTTATAGATGTTTATTATACGTAGATTGACATATGAGTAATTAGGTTTTTGGTGGTTGAAAATACGGAGTTAATAAAATAAATTTCTAGTGATTCTTAAATTAAATCTTAGAAGGTGGTTGAATATTTTTTCGCTTCTAAAAATTATTTGGATTAATAGAGATACTTTGTTCCAGTGAGATTTGTGATGTTGCTGTTAATATTATCTTTAATCGTGTTCGCATTGTACTGGGTATGGGGATGGTGTGTGACATCACGTTTGGAACCCCCCGAACATCCCGGTAGGGTTCCACTCATTGGACATCTACACATTTTCTTAGGAAACTCTACTAGTAAGTTATATTAGTGTTATAGCTATCTATCTATATCTTTTTTATCTTTTCATCTTTTAGATATATTTATTTCATTATTTAAATCAATCCCTGTTCGTTAGTCTCGCTAAAACTAGAGAACGGCTGAACGGATTTTGGAATCGGATCTTATCTTGGTCTTGAAATGTTCGAGGAGGTCAAGGGAAGGTTTAAAAGAGAAAAACCGAATGATTGCCGGAAAACCCCTAAAACAGCCTTTTTCTTTTTCCCATATAAAAATGTCCCATAGTCAATTTAAACTTTATTGAATAATTATGCTTTTATTTAATACCGCGCAGACAGAGTCGCGGGCGATAGCTTGTTTTAATATAAAAGCGGGTGACATTTTGATGGAGCAATAAAAATGTTTTACATTTTTGTTATGTTTCTTTTGTAATTGGGACAAATGAAACTAACAAAAAGCTTGTAATTACAAAAATAATTGTATTTATATATTTTTTCAATTTTTTAGCCCTATGGAACACTGCAAAGGAATTATCGTACACCAGTTTGCGAATGGGTGGTGTGACATCCATTTATCTTGGACCTCGGATTGTTTATGGTAAAGTTAGTTACGATGTTTAGTTAGTTAAAGTTACTCTCTAATATAAAAAGTATATTGACAGACAGACGGACGTACAAAAAAGTGATCCTATAAGGGTTCCGTTTTCTTTCTTGCGAGATAAGGAACCTTAAACCACCGTAACCACGTCGTCTGTTTGTAGAAGTGTTGTAATCGTACTAGTCTTATTAATATTATAAATGCGAATGTTTAGATGGATGGATGTTTGTTTGAAGGTATCTATGGAACAGTTGAACGGATCTCGATGAAATTTGGCATACATATAGAACATAGTGTGTTCAATAGAATTCAATGTTATATAAAAAAACTTAATTAGGCTGCCTTTTGTGGGGAATAATTAAAAATAACAAAAATGAATTTTATAAAAAGAAAGCGCACAACGCGTTATCGATAAAGAGATACCTCTAGGATGCAGCGCAGTTAATTATGCATTATTTCCTTAACCTTTTCTCGGTTACATTCTATTTTCTATCGACAAAACACTTCTTCGTTGTTACGCAAAATACTAAAATTGAGAGTGAGAGTTCCGAAATGCCTATAAGTATGAGCGGGAGATCTAATAAAACGATTTATGACTTAGTTCACACGTTTGTAATGGCACAACTATCGTTGAGAGCGCAAGCTGCGAACCTCCATTAAGTTGGGATCGTATTATACTATACGTATCAGTAAAACTTTAGTAGAAATTAGTTGATAGGATTTTGTTATTTGATTATTCACGTTACAGATATTTTCATTTCATAACACGAAATAATTAAGTTTTCTTTGTTTCCAGTTTTGACAGACCCTGACGATTATTTAACTGTCGCCAACGCTTGTTTACAAAAGGATAACTTCTATAATTTTGCTAAACCCTGGCTCGGGGAAGGTTTAGTCACTGGAACACGTATGTAAATGATTGTAATTCATACTATATTCTGTGTAAATTATGATAACACTAGCTTATCCTCGCGACTTCGTTAATAAAAACTAAGTAATGTGTGTTCTTTCAGATAGTGTTCTATATCTATACTAAATTTCAACCAGGCCCATGCAGACGTTCTGGAGGCACATACAAACAAGCATCCATCCATCCAAACATTTGCTTATAATATTAGTATAGATGTAAATTACAGAATTCCTTTTTAAAAATGAAATGTAACCTTTAGCATAACCTATAAAAACTTTTGTCCATCTATCTGTCTGTCCGTAAGGCTGCGTTATTGCGAGTAACTCCGGAACGGCTGGACCGATTTTGAAGGGAATGTAACTGATGTCGCGGGCATATTGCAGACTACTTTTGTTTAATTCTGCGCTAAAGAAGTCGAGGGCGTCTACTAGTGCATTGTACCAGGGAAATTAATAGACAGATTTATTCACACATGTGTAATTAGAACAACTTCACCTGGTACTTGACAAATACTAAGCGATAGCTGTCGCAGTGTTCCGATTTCTTTTTTATACATTGCAGTACCAATATGGAGGCATCATCGAAAGTTACTGAACCCAGCGTTCAGTCAGCTTGTGCTGGACGGTTTCCAGGGAGTTTTTAACAGTCAGTCCCGTCGTCTAGTTAGAGACATGGCATCGGAAGCTGGGAAGGGACCTTTCGATCATTGGGCTTACACGCGACGGAATGCGTTGGAGACTATCTGCTGTAAGTAAATAGTTGCTGAATGCTACACTAACGCCTGATTTTTACAGAAATCTACACTTATTGACGGTATTTATAAATCATTTGATTTAAATTAAATCTATCTAAAGATTGCGATTACAGTTTAACAGCATGATCTATTTAGTCGGACCGATCTTAAGATTTTCTTTCAGCGTTTGTTTTTTTTACAATCATACATATTTTAAAGCCTACTTATCTTTTTTTGAAGAGGCATTTACAGCTTCACAGGGCTTGAGGTGGCCGAGCGCAGATGGCACCTAGCCTAAACCTCGTTTAAGAGTAACTAAGCTCGAGGGCTCCCTCAGGAACCTCGGCTCGGGCCGTTACTTCGTTATTATTACCGGATTGGGAGGCCGCCGAGCTCTTAGGTCGCTTCGGAGCTCAAGGGCCCCGAGAGGGGACCTCGACTTGGGCTGTCACTCGATACGCGTTTAGCATTCCGATTCAAGGGTGCCCGAGGGGGCCGAACCTCGGCTTGTTCGGTTGCTGTTGTCTGATTATTATTAGCGCTGATGCATCTAATGTTACTACCACTTCGGAAAGCGTTAGCGCTGGGAGAAGAAGTGGCGGAAGAAACTCCAGCTACGCTTCTATCATTGACAAGTGAAAATCTGCCTGCTATGAGGCCATATCGCGAGAATGATTGCCGTAGCCGGCAGCGACTGGGATGTGTGGTGTGACTGCTAAGTTTTTTAACCCTAGCCTGAGCGATGGTAGTTGCGTCATCTTGAAAGTCGAGGACGTGCCTAGGTCTACGATAATCAAGGCGAAATTTACCGAGCGCGATTGGATTGTAGGTGACGGCACCTACAACTAGCGGATTAGGATGCCCGACGGCGGAGTCAAAATAACTACGCGACGCCAACTTCAGGTGCTGGGCTATGGTGGACAAGTCCAGGTCTATGTGCAGATCACTGTTGCGCATGTACCACGGGGCTCCCGTGGCTCTACGTAAAAATCTGTTCTGAATCACCTGAAGTCGATGTATTTGTTTCGGAGCTATATGCGCGAATGCCGGATTAGCATACGTCATGACGGGACGTACTACTGATTTAAGTAATGCGGAAAGACGACCTAATATAAAAGCCGCGCGGTTTCTAACCCGGGTTACATGTGCGGAGAAGTTGAGTTTAGAGTCCAGGATGACACCTAAGTATTTAACTTTGTCTTCCCATGGTATTGGGCTGTCCATGAGTGTGACGGATGGAAGACGAGTCACTTTGCGGCGGGAAAAGTAGAGAGCCGCGCTTTTGGTAAGGTTTATTTCGATCCTCCATTTCCGAAACCAGGCACCAGGGGTGTTGGCTGCAGTCTGAAGGCGTCGACAAATAGCTTCGGGCTTACGACCAAACGTGTAAATACAGGTGTCATTGGCAAATAATGCTAGTTCTACACCATGTACCCGCGGTATATCATTGGTGTAGAGAGTAAATAGGACCGGCCCTAACGCTGACCCTTGAGGCATCCCGGCTCGAACGGGGTGCGATTGATAACATATTCCCTCAACGCGGTAGCGGAACGTGCGGTCACTTAGGAAATCTCGTATTATGCATACAAGACAGTCGGGTACTATTATTTATCTCTTGGACTACATTTATTAGTTAATTTAAACAAAACATCTCAATACCGCGATCTAAGTGTACTGTTAATATGTTCAACGTCATCTGTTGGGCGCAACCGTTATTTCTTAATTCCTCTAATGTTTTGTTGTACTTTTATTTGAACAGTGACCGCTCTGGGAGTTGATTTCTGTGAGAACAGTGTTCTGAACAGTCAGTATGAGCACGCGGCGGAGCAGATGTTCAATGTGCTGGTGGAGAGGTTCCAGAAGGTCTGGCTTCACAGCGACTTTTTATACAACTGGTCTAGCCTGAAGAAGAAACAAGAGAGATGTCTGGAGATTTTGCACAATATGTCAAACACGGTAAACTTGATGTACTGAGTTTTAAAACGTATGTTTAGTATTTATGCTGGATACTAAGATGAAAAGCCTTGTTTTTTTTGTTTTAGGTTCTAAGAACACGTAAAGCTTCATACTTAAGCAATAAGAAGAATGGATTAGAAGCATCAACAGGTCTGTATGAGCAACAATTTATGATGTTGTACGAACATTTTTTTAAGCTCCACTTTTGCGATATTAAAAATATCTTTCTTCAGCCAGTAATATTTACAGTCTTATTCTTCTTAAATTATTTAAAGTTCGGAAACTGAAGTCAGTTTTAAAGATTCTATTAAAAATATATTAGTTACGTTCAAATTTTTTCATGACTTCTTCTTGATCATAGTACAAGATCTCGTGTTAATTTTAGGAACGAAATTCAAGACGTTTTTGGATCTTCTATTAGAGTTATCTATTGAGAAAGGAGCGTTTAACGACTTGGAGATAAGGGAGCAAGTAGACACAATGATAGTCGCAGGACACGACACGTCTGCTAATGTTTTAATGTTCACCTTAGTTATGATTGGATCGTATCCGAAGGTGCAGGAGAGAATTTTCGAAGAGTAAGTGCAGATCAAGATTATCAAAATACGTGTCTTAAATGATTCTCTTTTATATTTACGTCATTTTGAAATGAATTACTTAATTTTAGGTTATACGACATTTTCGGGAACGACGATAGAGATGTGACTAAGCAAGATTTATCTCAATTGGTATACTTAGAGGCCGTGCTGAAGGAAACTATGCGGGTTTACCCCATTGTGCCCGTGACTGCGAGGTGGCTTGATAGAAATGTTAAGCTAAGTAAGTTGTATTGAATGTCAAGGTAAATTTTAAAACACTGTTAGTTATAGATCTACAAGGCTTTCTGGCCCGGTGAACATAAGTCGAACATTAACGCCCTCCCTGTCAACGTCAAAAAAGTGTCCCAAGATCCGTAGTACTGTCGTAATAGACGGACGGATAGATATAAGAAGTTATCTCCAGGGCAGCTCAATGGATCTCGATAAGATTTGGCATAGAGACTATTGATAGAACGTAGTCTGTAAGACATAGGTTACTTTTTATTTTTCTTAAATTCGCTGGTATAGAGTCGCGGGCAACAACTTCTTTGTTTTAATTCCGCGCAGATGAAATCGCGGACTAAAGCTAGCTTGTTATATTCTCTCATTCCCATTGATTTTAACGAAACATCAAGCTACACTCTTTCAGTCATTCATTTTTTTTTCAGAGAACTACACGTTAACCGCTGGTCGGACTTGCCTTATGTTTGTGTACGGGGTCCATAGACACGCCATGTGGGGACCTGACGCTGAGGAGTTCAAGCCCGAACGCTGGCTGGAACCGGCCACTCTGCCGCATTGTCCCAACGCCTTTGCTGCATTTAATATGGGCAGAAGAATCTGCATTGGTATGCAACATTATTTTAGTTACTCTTCCATCCTTTCTTGTCTCCAATAGGAATTCGAAACATTCAAATCGTTAGCTCGGATTCTTTAGCTGAATATGGGCAGCGGTCACTTTGCCATTTTGGCGAATTCAGATAGTCGTTTACTCCAAAGTCACCACTATTATACTAGAAAAATCTTTATTTCCAGGTAAAACGTACGCCTATTCGTCGATGAAAACAACGTTGGCTCACCTATTACGTCACTACCGAGTACAAGCCGACCATAATAAGATGATATTAAAGCTTGACGTCATGCTCAAACCTGAATACGGTCACTTAATATCCATAGAGAAGAGATGAAATGTAAATTAAAAAAGCCGTAACACATTTAAAGACTGACACTTTTATTATTCCTGATGGATATAAGTTACATTCAATTACAACCAAAAAAGTGCTACAACATTCTTGTCAGACTATAATTTTACATAATTCTTATGATTGTCGGAAAATATGTAAACTAAACAATGTCATCTTGACAACGTCATCTGACCAATGATGGATCGGCATTTGCACAATCGCATCTTGACAGTGTCATCTGCCCAATGATAGAACGCCGTTTGCACAATCTCATCTTGACAGTGTCATCTGCCCAATGATAGACCGGCGTTTGCACAATCTCATCTTGACAGTGTCGTCTGACCAATGAGGAAGCATTTGCACAGGACAATGTTGCCATTATTTTTTTTCGAAATTCCAGAAAAATGTTTCGTGTGGCGATTTAGTTTTAATTTGTAATATCAGTAGTAAGATAAAGTTGACATGTAACGAATAATTATTAATGTACTTAATGCTGAATATAATTATTAAGAAACGTGAAACATCGTGTTTTCTTGAAAAATCCTTTATCAAGTTTTGATTCAATCAATTTGAATTAAATTCATAATTATGTAGCCTATATGTTCTTCCCGATTATGTTCTACGTATGTGTTAAATTTCATTAAAATCCGATGAGCCATTACGAAGATATCTTCAACCATACATCGATCCATCCATCTTAACTTTCCCATTTATAATATTAGTAAGATTTTTCCTTCTTTTTTTATATCATAAGGTGGCAAACGAGCGAGCGGCCACCTGAAATCGCTGAAATAGCGAAGTGACCGTTGCCCATAGACATACGCAATTGCATATGCGTTGCCTACCTTTATTCGACGGAAAAGAAGATGCACAGAAAGAAAGTATTTTCCCTTCCCATGCATCTTCTCATCCGGAAAGTCCACTTCTACTTCCCATCCTTTCTTTATAAGAAAAAGGACGGGAAGGGAAAGAGGACTAAATTAGGTCTCCGGGACGCACACTCTTCAGACGAAACGAGGAATTGCTTCCACTTCACGCCTGTCTTCTGTGTGGTCGTGGTATTTCGCCGGGCGAGCCGGGACAATTCGTGCGAAGATGTTAAAGCGGGCTCTACCACTGATATGTGTATGAATGTGAGTGTATGTGTGTGTGTGTTTCAAATCAAAATGTATGCAATGCATTCAATGCAACGTATTAAATTATAGCATAATTAATAAGAGCCAGACAACCTCCATTGAAATGATTAGCAAAAAACGAAACTTGTTTCAAATATTAATATCTTACTAATATTATAAATGCGAATGTCTAGATTGATGTATGGATGTTAGAAGGTACCTGCAACACGACTGCATGGATCTTGCTTTGGCATAGAAGTAGAACATAGTCTGGGAGAAAACATAGGCTACTAATTTAGTTTTTCTTTTAGTTCCGCACAGACGGATTTGCGGGCGACAACTAGTAATATAAAAATAGATTGATGTTTGTTTGAAAGTGTCTCTGGAACGGCTCAACGGATCTTGATGAAATTTGTCATAGAAGTAGAATGTAGTCTAGAAGAATACATAGGTTACTTACAAAGTTTATTTTTATAATATCGCGCAGACGGAGACGCGAGCGAAACCTAGTATTATAAATGGAAGAATTTGAAATTTAAATTTAAATGATTAATTTATTTATTTATTTTTACTAGCGGACCGTCTCGGAATTGTTCCTGTGCAGATCACATTGACCTTTAACATTTTGAAATAATTTTAAACTAGCGGTCGCCCACAACTCCGTCCGCGCGTAATCGAAAAAAATAATAGTAGCTTATGTGATCTTCCAGATTATGTTCTATATATGTGCTTAGTTTCATCGAGATCCATGCAGCCGTTGTGGAGATACCTTCAAACAAATATCCATCCATCTAAACTTTCGCATTTTTAATATTAGTAAGAAGTAAGATTGTATTTTGATATCCAAGGATCTAGAATGGTATTAGGTTAGCTTTGAGGTCTCCTAAGTAAAGATAAGACGTAGCTGCATGATTACTTCCAATTTTTGCGAGTCAATGCGTTTTTAAATTTGTTCTGGAACGTTCTAAACAGTTGAAAGTTTGCACTTTTAAACACAACTATAACAAGTCCCTTCCCAGGTTTCCCGCTAGTTTAATAATATAGCAAAATCTATTGCTGTTCTTTAGTCTCGCTAAAACTTGAGAACGGTTGAACGGATTTATCTTATCTTGGTCTTGAAATGTTCGTGGAGTTCTAGCAAAGGTTTAGAAGATGAGAAAAATACGAATAATTGCCGGGGAAACCCTGAAAACAGCCCTTTTATTTTTCCCATATAAAAGGCAGAATGAATCTCGCTGAAACTTGGCACAGATGTAGAACATAGTATGGAAGAACACATAGACAAGTAATTAAATATTTTTCTAATTTCGCGCAGACGGAGTCACGGGCGACAGCTAATATAATACATATGACAATGTAACATTCGTAATGTTTGAATGTTTATTAGAAAGCTATTTCCAGAATGGCTGCATAGATTTTTGCTGTAATTTGGTACATGCTGGAATAACACATAGGCTAATATTTTTTTTATATCCATGCGGACGGAGTCGCGGGAAACTAGTTAGTAATAAAATGGACACATGCTCTTCCGTATACCCAGACTATAAAGTCGCTCGATTACTTATTAATATAACTAATCGACTTTAAGTGACTCATAATTATAGTGTTTTTGGTATTCGTTCTTATAGCTGATGTGAGGTAAATAATTTTTTATTTTTTTTATTTTTTGTGTGGAATACGAGATTAAGTTTGAAAGTAGTGCCAGTGATCAAGAAATTATGTTATCGTGGTTTGGACATGTTATGCGGTAAGATAACACAAATAGAAAAGTAATAAAATTATATGTCATTTCACAAAAGTAAAGGAAGACCGGAGAAAGTATGGATTGTGTGAGGATATTAGTACGAAGGGAGTGGATTCAGATGAGTTGATAGAGATGTATGGAGTTCATGTGCCGACCCTACGTAGGGATAATTGATGGCCTTATAGATGTTTATTATACGTAGATTGACATATGAGTAATTAGGTTTTTGGTGGTTGAAAATACGGAGTTAATAAAATAAATTTCTAGTGATTCTTAAATTAAATCTTAGAAGGTGGTTGAATATTTTTTCGCTTCTAAAAATTATTTGGATTAATAGAGATACTTTGTTCCAGTGAGATTTGTGATGTTGCTGTTAATATTATCTTTAATCGTGTTCGCATTGTACTGGGTATGGGGATGGTGTGTGACATCACGTTTGGAACCCCCCGAACATCCCGGTAGGGTTCCACTCATTGGACATCTACACATTTTCTTAGGAAACACTATTAGTAAGTTATATTAGTGTTATAGCTATCTATCTATATCTTTTTTATCTTTTTATCTTTAAGATATATTTATTTCATTTTTTAAATCAATCCCTGTTCGTTAGTCTCGCTAAAACTAGAGAACGGCTGAACGGATTTTGGAATCGGATCTTATCTTGGTCTTGAAATGTTCGAGGAGGTCAAGGGAAGGTTTAAAAGAGAAAAACCGAATGATTGCCGGAAAAACCCTAAAGCAGCCTTTTTCTTTTTCCCATATAAAAATGTCCCATAGTCAATTTAAACTTTATTGAATAATTATGCTTTTATTTAATACCGCGCAGACAGAGTCGCGGGCGATAGCTTGTTTTAATACAAAAGCGGGTGACATTTTGATGGAGCAATAAAAATGTTTTACATTTTTGTTATGTTTCTTTTGTAATCGGACCAATGAAACTAACAAAAAGCTTGTAATTACAAAAATAATTGTATTTATATATTTTGTCAATTTTTTAGCCCTATGGAACACTGTAAAGGAATTATCGTACACCAGTTTGCGAATGGGTGGTGTGACATCCATATATTTTGGACCTCGGATTGTTTATGGTAAAGTTAGTTACGATGTTTAGTTAGTTAAAGTTACTCTCTAATATAAAAAGTATATTGACAGACAGACGGACGTACAAAAAAGTGATCCTATAAGGGTTCCGTTTTCTTTCTTGCGAGATAAGGAACCTTAAAACACCGTAACCACGTCGTCTGTTTGTAGTGTTGTAATCGTACAAGTCTTATTAATGTTATATTCATTTCGTAACACGAAATAATTAAGTTTTCCTTGTTTCCAGTTTTGACAGATCCTGACGATTATTTGACTGTCGCTAACGCATGTCTACAAAAGGATAGTATCTATAATATTGCTAAACCCTGGCTCGGGGAAGGGTTAATCACAGCAACACGTATGTAAACACAGCACAGTTCAGTACTACCTAAGTAAATATTGTTAGATAGTGTTTAGTTGAACACGTGTTTTAAACATTTGAACACTGGTGAAGGACATATTGAACATCAAATTGGTACATTGCAGTAAGACAAAATTATTTAACAGTGGTAGAACCCGCTTTAATATCTTCGCACGAATTGTCCCGGCTCGCCCGGTGAAATACCACGACCACACAGAAGACAGGCGTGAAGTGGAAGCTATTCCGCGTTTCGTCTGATGAGTGTGAGTCCCGGAGGCTTAATTTAGTCCTCTTTCCCTTTACAACCTTTTTCCTATAAGGAAAGGATGGGAAGTGGAGGTGAACTTTCCGGATGAGGGTATGCATGGAAATATTTTATTTCTGTGCATCCTCTCCTTAGTCGACTAAAGGTAGGCAACGCATATGCAATTGCGTATGTCTACGGGCAACGGTTACGTCGCTATTTGCCACCTTATGATATAAAAAAAGTACATTGCAGTGTCAAAATGGAAGCATCATCGAAAGTTGTTGAATCCAGCATTCAGTCATCTCGTGTTGCACGGTTTCCAAGGAGTTTTTAATAGTCAGTCCCGTCGCCTGGTGAGGGATATGGCATCGGAGGCGGGGAAAGGACCTTTCGATCACTGGGCTTACACGCGACGGAATGCGTTGGAGACTATCTGCTGTAAGTAAATAGCTGCTGAACGCTATACTAACGCCTGATATGTATAGAAATCTACAATTATTCACGGTATTTTTAAATCATTTGGTTTAAATAAAATCTATCTAAAGATTGCGATTGCAATTTAATAGCATTACCTGTTATTTAGGGGGTGGTGGAATTGGTAACAACGTCGACAAAGTGATTAAAATATTGTTCTGGTCGTACTCAAGAATCCAGGTTGATTTCGTGTGTTAATAAATGCAATAAAGTCACTACCTACTTATTCCTTGGATTAATTCTTTTAAACAAAACATTTCGATACCGCGATCTAAGTGTACTGGTAGTATTGCTCAACGCCATCTGTTGAGCGCAATCGTTATTTCTTATTTCTTCTAATATTTTGATTTACTTTTATTTGAACAGTGACCGCTCTGGGAGTTGATTTCTGTGAGAACAGTGTTCTGAACAGTCAGTATGAGCACGCGGCGGAGCAGATGCTCACCGTGCTGGTGGAGAGGTTCCAGAAGTTCTGGCTTAGCAGCGACTTTATATACAACTGGTCGAGCCTGAAGAAGAAACAAGAGAGATGTCTGGATATATTGCACAGTATGTCAAACACGGTAAACTTGATGACGATGAAACGATTGACCTGTAAAAGAAGGTTTAGATTTTATGCTGGTACTGAGATGAAAAGCCTTGTTTTTTGTTTTAGATTATAAAAACGCGTAAAGCTTCATACTTAAGCAATAAGAAGAATGGATTAGAAGCATCCACAGGTCTGTATGAGCAACAATTTATGTTGATGCTATACTAAAAAAATCTTCCTTCAGCCAGTAACATTTCCAGTCTTATTCTTCTTAAATTATTTACAGTTCTGAAATTGAAGTCAGTTTTAAAGATTCTATTAAAAAGATATTAGTTACGTTCAAATTTTTTCATGACTTCTTCTTGATCATAGTACAAGATATCGTGTTAATTTTAGGAACGAAATTCAAGGCGTTTTTGGATCTTCTATTAGAGTTATCTATTGAGAAAGGAGCGTTTAACGACTTGGAGATAAGGGAGCAAGTAGACACAATGATAGTCGCAGGACACGACACGTCTGCTAATGTTTTAATGTACACCTTAGTTATGATTGGATCGTATCCGAAGGTGCAGGAGAGAATTTTCAAAGAGTAAGTCTAATTTAAGTCTATCAAAATACGTGTCTTAAATGATTCTCTTTGAATTTTGATTTAATTACTTAATTTTAGGTTATACGACATTTTCGGGAATGACGATAGAGATGTGACTAAGCAAGATTTATCTCAATTGGTATACTTAGAGGCCGTGCTGAAGGAAACTATGCGGGTTTACACCATTGTGCCCATGACTGCGAGGTGGCTTGATAGAAATGTCAAACTAAGTAAGTAACAAGTCCAGAGGATAAAAGTCAAACTAAATTATGATAGCTCAGGAACGTGCCCTTGTCAACGTCGAAAGTGTCCCAAGTTCCGTGTCCTACTAACGGATGGATGTTTGTTAGAAGGTATCTCACGAATGGCGCAATGAATCTTGATTATATTTATTAAGGATATAGAACTTAGTCTGGAAGACGTAGGCTAATTATTAAGTTTTTTTTTTGATTAAACTTTTAGGCTATACTTACCGCTATTTTTTTTAATTCCGCGCAGATGAAGTCGCTGACAAAAGCTAGCTAACATCAAGATACTCTCTTTGAGTCTCATTTCCTTCAGGCATTCATTTTGTTTTTTTCAGAGAACTACACGTTAACCGCTGGTCGGACCTGCCTTATGTTCGCGTACGGGGTCCATAGACACGCCATGTGGGGACCTGACGCTGAGGAGTTCAAGCCCGAACGCTGGCTGGATCCGGCCACTCTGCCGCAAAGTCCCAACGCCTTTGCTGCATTTAAAATGGGCAGAAGAAATTGTTATGGTATGCAACATTGTATTCGTTGGTCTTCCATCCTTCTTTCTTGTCTTCCTATAGGAATTCAAAATATTCAAACCGTTAGCCCGGCTTCTTTGGCTGAAAATGGGCAGCAGTCACTTTGCCATTTTGGCGAATTCAGATAGTCGTTTACTCCAAAGTCACCACTATTATACTAGAAAAATCTTTATTTCCAGGTAAAACGTACTCCTATTTGTCGATGAAAACAACGTTGGCTCACCTATTACGTCACTACCGAGTACAAGCCGACCATAATAAGATGATATTAAAAGTTGACGTCATGCTCAAACCTGAATGCGGTCACTTTATATCCATAGAGAAGAGATAAAATGTTAATTCCAAATAAATACCTGTATAAAATTATTCTTTGCTTATTAAAAATCACTTACATACATAAAAAAAATACAACGTGCTCTAAAATTCAGGATTTATTTTTAAAATTATTTTTCCCCACGTAGTTATCGACCTGGCTGTACACCAGAACCGATTTATCGTTGAATTTTGGCACACGCTGTATATACGCGTAAAAAACAATACCCTTTTCGAGAATTTTAACATTATTTTTATCAAATTGTATTAATTACTGTACATACATAAGTTTATTTTTAATTTCCAATTATATTATGTATCATAAATATCGAAATAATTTTAAGAAAAAAGTTAAGGGACAAGATTAAAAAGATAAAAAAAAAATTGGTGGTATTTTTCCTTTCTTTTCTTTCCTTCTATAAGGGTTTCGTTTTTTTTCTGTGATCCTATGATCACTTTGTTGTCCGTCCGTCTGTCTGTCAAGACCATTTTTCCTATAAATATTTGTCTGTTTTTAAATTAATTTAATTAGTGAATTTCTTTATAATTATACACTATACACTATATTATATTTTTGTTATTAAAAAAAAACTTAATTAGTAGCCTATGTGTTCTTGCAGGGTTCTACATCTATAGGGTCGCGGACGAGAGCGAATGCGTGCCCGTGGTCCCGTCCCGATGCGTTGGAGGAACAGAGGGGTTTATTGGGTATGCCTCCATTATGGAGGAGAATCCCACATAACTACCGTGTCCCCCCCACCCCGGGCGCGCGGAGTATGCATAAAGCATTCCTCCCTGGAAAAAAAAGTTCTACATCTATGGCAAATTTCAATGTGATTCATGCAGTAGTTATTGTTTTGGAGTTACCTTTGTACAAACATCCATCCATCTGAACATTCGCATTTATATTAGTAAGATTGTATTTCGTTTAATATGCTATAAAGTCCGCAGTGGCATTTTATATCTATTATTTTTATTATATCTCACAAAGACTATTTATTTATTTGGAATAAATTAAAATGCATACGAATTATTTTTATTCTGTTAATGTTCATTTTTATTTATATAATTTTATAGTAGATTATGGATGTTTTTATCGTTCCGGGTTGAATTTAAATTATTGTTTCATAAAATATGTTTATGAATGCATTTATTAAAATGTTCGAATAGCAACTAATAAGTGGCAAAACAAATTGGACCAAAATTTTAACTTAGTGTTTTACGGGTAGATTGATTGTCCAACTTCAAGTTTTGGTATGATTACTTTTGCCAATTTTACATTGCGATTCGTTTTTTCACTTATCCGTTTCGATTCGTTTTTTCACTAGTCGATTGAAGTTTCACTTATACTATGTGTCCAAGCAATCAGTTTGATTTTTTGACTTCTCAGTGTTCACATCAACATCAGCTCACACGTCCCCACTGAGGGGCACGGAACCTACCCTAACTTAGAGGTGACTAGGCCATAGTCAACCACGTTGGCCCAGTGCGGTTTGACTTCACACATATCTTTGAATTTCTTCTTAGATATGCGCAGGTTGCATCACAATGTTTTCCTTCTCCGTAAGAACGTTAGATAAATGTACATATGTAAATCGAAAATCGAAAAACAGATTGGTACATGACGGGATTCGATCCCAGGACCTGCAGATTACAAGTCAAGTGTTGACCCCTGAGCTACCGACGCTCTTTGAACCCAGGGCCCAATGTTCACATAATCTAATAATATCCCGTTTTTTCTTACTATTTATATAGGTCTGTACGCATTATTGTTTCTTCATCCCTTTAATTTTACTTAATTTTGACTGAGCTATAAATTTAAAAGTTAAAATTGAAAAAAAAATATTATAATTAATCTTTTGCCACTATCTCGCCGTCAATCCGTTTTTATAATTTTTTTGCAAACGGTTTTTAATTAATTTGAAAACCGGTATATAAGTTTGGTGGTTTAAATTTATTAACATTTAATTCAGACCTTAGTTTAGGTTTTGATTTTGAATTATTAATATTATTATATATTATAAAAATGTTATTTTTAATATTGTTCATGATAAGTATTGTGTTTTACTTAATAAATAAACAACGTTCAAGGAAAAAGGAGCCCCCTGTACTTCAAGGTGCCTTGCCTTTAATAGGCCATGCGCATTTATTAATTGGTGATAGTAACCGTACGTATTTTTTTGACTCTATTTTTATATGATCTAATTATTAATTTTATCTTACTTCTTCATCAGCTCACTATACGTCCCCACCGAGGGGCTCGGAGCCTACCCTAAGTTAAGGGTGATTAGGCCATAGTCAACCACGCTGGCCAAGGGCGGGTTGGTTGACTTCACACATATCTTTGAATTTCTTCGCAGATATGTGCAGGTTGCATCACGATGTTTTCCTTCACCGTAAGAACGTCGGATCAATGTACATATGTAAATCGAAAATCGAAAAACACATTGGTACATGGCGGGATTCGAACCCAGGACATGCAGATTACAAGTCGTGCTGAAACCACTGAGCTAATATATATTATCTTACTATTATTAGGAATGTTTAGATGGATGGATGTTTGTTTGAAGGTATCACCAGAACGGCTGCATGGGACTAGATAAAATTTGGCATAGATTTAGAACATAGTCTGGAAGAACATATAGGCTACTAATTATGTTTTTTCAAATCTGCGCGGACGGAGTCGCGGGCGACAGATAGTAATCTTAAGAATGCAAATGTTTGAATAGATGGATAGATGTTTGTTTAAAGATATCTCTGGAACTACTCAATGAATCTTGATGAAATTTGGCACACGTAGAACATAGTCTGGAATAACATATAACCTTTCAAGTTCTTTTTAATACCACACAGATGGAATCGCGGGCGATAACTAGTTAATTTATAATGTTTATTATGATCGCTGTGCTTGACCAAATCGATGAGAAACCAGAAAAATGTAAAAGAATTTGAAATCGGCACTTTTAAATAAATTACTTAACAATCAATTGTCTTATATATCTATTATTTGTTTCGCTTTTTTGTCTTTCTATTATGGTCTGAAAAAAACCGTTTAATCTCTGTTCTTTTTTGTTTAATATAATTGTGAAATGGTTAATAACGTTTGGATTTGTTAATACGCTGAACTTATAAATTAATAAGCGACCAGTAAGTACACTTAAACCCTGTGGGTTTTTAGTACAACTGTCTTACCGTAATTTAATTTGTTATGTAAAGTTTTTGTATAATAAAATAAAATAAAAAAAACAAAATACATTTTTGTTTTTCTTTATTTTTTGCACAAAAATGTATCTTTCTGACTTTTATAATAATTTTTTTGTTATATTTTTTTGCTTGTACAATTTAGTAAGATATTATATTACTTAAAATTTTTTGCTTGTAGAATTAAGTTAGTGTTTATAATTTTTTGCTCGTCAAATTCAACAATAATTTGTAAGTTATATTTTTTAAATTTTTTGCTTCATACAAAATCATTCAATTTGTACAGATTATTGGAAGATGGTTATGAAATGGTCCAAAGAGTGCTTGACAAAGGGCAGTTGTTCTATATTTTATATATGCAGTCGTAAATATTATGGTAAGTTTTTGAAACGCGTTTTATTCTTCAATACCCTCTCTATTTAAGTGTCAATAGCTTAATGGTTAAGGGTACGGATTTCCGATCACGAGGTCGGGGATTCGAATCCCGCCATTCGACTATTGTCGTAAACCGTATCGTACACAAGCATAGAGCTTAGTTGGAATGGTCAAAGAAATATTAGTAAATTTAGAAAAACATCTGCTTAATATTGTAATAAAAAAAAATGGTTGTTTGATCATTGACTTAGCTCTAGTTTGCATACGCGATTCTTATCAACGCGCTGGAGGACTTCCAATTTATAAACCTACGTCCAGGTATACCAAGTGTAACACCTTCCAGCTTAGCTTCCAGGATAGACTGCATTTTAGCTATCAAAGTCCAAGTTTGGATATACAATACCACTGGCCAAACATAATATTAAAGAATTTTTCCTTTTTTTTTTTCGGTAACTACGTTTTTGTTCAAGAAGCGACTTTCTCAAAGGCCGGCAATCTGATATTCCTTTGGTATTCCATGGGCGTTGATCACCTCAGTGTTTCCGCTGCTAGTTTGCCCAAACGTTTGAGAAGAATAAGCGTTCATATCTCTTGGTTCCGGCCTTATTCTTCATTAAAAATCTTTATTGTAACTCTATTAAGAGTCAAATAATTCAGATATTATACGGTGAAAAATGGTCCATAAGCAAGCTTTCTTGGGCCGTTGGGAAAAGATATTTTATTAACTCCCATTTTCACTAGTATAATACAATAACCCCGGTGCTATGATGATATGATGCGGTGATGGTCAACAGTGGTAGAGGCCGCTTTAACACCTTCGCAATTCCAATGCAATTGGCTCGGCTTGCCCGGTGAAATACCACGACCACACAGAAGACAGGAGTCAAGTGGAAGCTATTCCGCGTTTCGTCTGATGAGTGTGCGTCCCAGAGGCCTTATTTAGCCCAATTTCCCTTCTAGCCCTTTTTCTTATAAGGAAAGGATGGGAAGTGGAAATGGACTTTCCGGATTGCGTATGTCTATGGGCAACGGTCACTTCGCTATTTCAGCGATTTCAGGTGGTCGCTCGCTCGTTTGCCACCTTATGATATAAAAAAATTATCTATTTCCAAAGGCTTAGTTGTAACAGACATAATAAGTTAATGACAGTAATAGCAGACATAAAACGCACGGCTAATTGCTTAGTGGAAAAGAGGTCTTTACATCCTTGCAGACGCCACCATTTAGGATTTAGCCTTAAGATCTTATCATTTTTTAAAGTTTTATATATCAAGTAAATTTTTAATGTTTTTTTTAATTTCAGTTCTTACAGATCCAGACGACTGTCTCACAGTGGCTAATGCTTGTTTGGAAAAAGACATTCTGTATGGAAGTGCCAGAGCTTGTTTTGGGAATGGGTTAGTCACCGCAACTGGTATGTTGTATGAGAAACATTTGTAATTAAAACACAATATACAAATATACAAAAACATCATCATTCAGCGCTTTTCCATACAAATAATTGTCTCAGCACTCCTCCATACATCTCTATCAACTACATCAATCACACCTTATTTTTTTTATTAAAAGATGGCAAATGAGCATGCGGCTACATGAGTTCAACGAAATAACGAAGCGACTGTTGCCCATAGACACCTGCAATTGCTTCGTTGTCTGTCTATTCAACAGAAGAAGGGATGCACCGAAATAGAATAGTACCCCTTCTATGTGTCCCCTTCTCCGCAAAATCCATCTCTCCCATTATTTCCTTACATATGAAAAGAGTGGGAGATGGATCGTTATTAATCTTTTATTCGTTCGTTTTTTAATATTCATAATATTGTGTTTGTTTTAGCCAACGTTTGGAAAGATCAAAGAAAGTTACTCAATCCAAAATTTAATCTCAACTATCTGCACAGCTTTTTGGACGTATTCAATAAACAAGCGAAGATTTTAGTAAAAGAATTCGAATGTCATATAGACAAAGGAGAATTCGATCATGGATCTTTAATACGACAAAACGAAATGAAAACTATTTGTCGTAAGTAACATAGAGTTAAAAAAATAATACATTTATTAAAATCTAAACCAAAAATGCTGCGCCAAATACATGGAGCGACCGGCTAAACATTTGCAATTTCTTTGTTTTTTTTTTATACCATAAGGTGGCAAACGAGCGAGCGGCCATCTGAAATCGCTGAAACAGCGGGGCGACCGTAGCCCATAGACATTAACAATTGCAGATACGTTGTCTACCTTTAATAGACGGAGGATGCAGAAAAAGATTTTCCCTTCCCATGTGTCCCCTCATCCGGAAAATTCACCGCCACTTCCTGCACTTAAGGAAAAGTGTGGGAAGGGAAAGACGATTGAAATTAATCCTCCGATACCACATGTAGCATTCGTTGCTATAGCTATATTTGGCTCGTTCACGTACCGACACGTGTTGCCGGCTCAAAGGTCTGATATCGACTGACGTCCCCTCTCTCCGGCATGTACTTATGGCGTGTATGCTCGAGACAAACAACACTACGTTTACGCATACACTACACCAAATTTATCAGACGATGTTGCAGATGTCCATTGGCATAAATGTTCCTACATAAAAAACGAAAAATTTACTATGTATATCCAAACAAAACAGTGGTAGAGCCCGCTTTAACATCTTCGCACGAATTGGCTTAGCTCGCCCGGTGAAATACCACGACCACACAGAAGACAGGCGTGAAGTGGAAGCAATTCCGCGTTTCGTCTGAAGAGTGTGCGTTCCAGAGGCCTAATTTAGTCCTCTTTCCCTTCCCTCCCTTTTTCTTATAAGGAAAGGATGGGAAGTGGAATAGGACTTTCCGGATGAGAGGATGCATGGAAGGGGAAAATGTTTTCTTTCTGTGCATCCTCTCCTCCGTCGATTGAAGGTAGGCAACGCATATGGAATTGCGTATGTCTATGGGCAACCGTCACTTCGCTATTTCAGCGATTTCAGGTGGCCGCTCGCTCGGTTGCCACCTTATGATATAAAAAAAAACAAAGGTAGATTAAAATAAATTTATACATTTATTTCAGTCACATCACTCGGATTGGACTTTAGTCAAGACAAAGATACGTTACTAGAATATGCTAACGCTTTCGATAATATATTAAATTGTTTTACGGAACATTTACAAAAGTTTTGGCTTCAAATAAAGTTTTTATGGCATCGAAGTACTTTGAAAATGAAACGAGACAAGCATCGTGCTGTTATGTACAGAATTACTGATACTGTAAGTTTATTATACAACTAAATAGTATTATCATTAACCTAATTATAAATTAAATTATCTTACTAAATAACTAACCACTACAAAATAAATAAATTAATTAATACTATATTAAATAAACTATATACTAAAACTAAACCAAACTAAAAATAAAACTAAATAATATAAAAAAATCGACCCCAAATCGCTGCGCTTGGACGGTAGGGTTCCCAAGAGACTGGCGGCATTTCCCCGTTGGATGGCCAGGCTCAACCTTTGCCCGAAATGCTGTAAGTTCATATAAATTTCTTTATCAATTTTTGTATAATACTTTAAACATAACCAAACTTTTTCGCTCCAAATTTGCTATTTTTTTGCAACTTGCGGTGATTGCAACTTAATTTTATTATACGAGTATATAAGTGGGAAGTATGCGCATGTCCACAGAATTTATCATAAATTAATCTTACTTTTTACTTATATTAAAAACTCCGCGGGGAATTAAAAAAAACTATTGGTCGTAGCGTAACTAAAACCTAAAGAATTTCTCTATAAATGGACTATCCAACAAAAAAATAATTTTTCATATCTGACCAGTAGTATCTGAGATTAGAGCGTTTGAACAAACTCTTCCGCTGTATAATATTAGTATTATATAAATGTGAATGTTTAGATGGGTCGATAGATGGATGAATAGATGGATGGATGTTTTTTGAAGCTATCTGAAGAACGGCTTAACGGATCTTTATGAAATTAAATGTAGACCATAGTCGTGAAGAGCATACAGGCTACTATTTTTTTTAATTCAGTGCGGAGGGAGTCGCGGACTACAGCTAGTTACTTAATAAACAATAAGCTTTCTAAACCAAGGTTTAAGGTTTATAAATGTCTATATTTCTTGCATTTCAGATTATAAAGAAAAGAAAAGCAGACCATCTTAATAAGTTGATTACTGGAGATGTAGATGAAGGTATTTATAATCTATGAGATTAAGCAGCTGCTGTCGAATGCTTATTAAGACAATGCTGTTATTGATTGAGCCAAGGGGCTAGGCATAGTGCATTCCCTTCGAAGCGATTCCATAGCGAACGTCAAAAATGCATGGAACTGACGGGCGACAATCACGTGACTTATCGGAAGTAATTGTCAGTTCTATACATTTTTGAAGTTCGCTATGGAATCGCCTCGAAGCGAATGCAGTTTGTCCAACCCCACCGGCCTATTATACATCCAGCTTATTCGCACAGATCATCGAATGATATTGATTGATCTGAATTACGATGGCTATATATTCATGTAAATATATGATTTTTACAGGTGAAAATTTTAAACCATTTCTAGACGTTTTATTCGAGCTTAAGAAGACAGTTGGTGATGACGTAATGACTGACAAGTTAATTAGGGATCAAGTTACTACGCTTATAATGGCTGGTCATGACACTGTCTCACATGTTTTACAGTTAACTTTAATTCTAATTGGCTCTTATTCCGGAGTTCAAGATAAAATTTATGCCGAGTAAGTAATAGCACGTTCAAATTAATATCTTCTATAATTTAAACTAATTTTAGTCTAGTAAATAAAGTTTTAAGTTTGATTTTCTTGCGCGGTAAAAAGTTTATGGTAAGCGCCTGTCATAAATGTACACGCAAAATTTTATATGGAAATATTAGCTTGTGTTATTATTAAAGTGTACGTAATGATGCTATTGTTTTTTTTAAGGCTTCAACAAGTGTTTGAAAATTCTGATAGAGATGTTGATAAGGATGATTTAACAAAATTAATTTATTTAGAGGCGGTATTAAAAGAGTCGATGCGGCTTTATAGTATCGTACCTATTGTGAGCCGCCATTTACATCAAGATGTAAGACTTAGTGAGTAAACGAAACACTTAGCTTAGTTTTCGAAAATTGTCAATCTAAGTTTTGTTAATTAAATAATTTATTGTAACGTTTAAAAGAAGTTAAGTTTGAAATAAAATTAAACGATTCAACACTTTTACCACACTGGTGATCATTTTGCCATTCAATATTATTATTATTCATCATCATCAGTTCACCATCCCCACTGAGGGCTTGAAACCTACCGTCACTTAGGGGTGACTAGGCCATAGTCAACCACGCTGGCCCAGTACGTTGACTTCAGACATATCTTTGAATTTCTTCTCAGATATGTGCAGCATCACGATGTTTTCCTTCACCGTAACCTCGGATAAATGTACATATGTAAATCGAAATTAAAAAAATACATTGGTACATGGCGGAATTTGAACCTAAGACCTGCAGATTACAAGTCTAATGCTAACCCCTGAGATACCGAAGCTTGTGACTGAGGCGTTTTTATAGATTGTTGTTCAATTTCAGAACACTATACACTCCGGAGAGGTCACTCTTGTGTCCTAAACTTAGTGAGTGTCCACCGTCACCCGATGTGGGGTCCTGATGCCGAAGAATTTAAGCCTGAGCGGTGGCTCAATCCTAACACGTTGCCTAGCAACCCAAACGCATTCATAGCCTTCAGTCTTGGAAAAAGAAATTGCATTGGTAATATCAATATCCAAATTAATACATCTGTAAATGGACTGGTTATAAGACTTAGATTTTTGTGACTATTTGATTATCGCCATTTTGGCGCTGATAGTAGCGATTTGTAGCGGTGATGTGGATTGTGACTAATGATGAAGATAAAGTTAACTGTCACGTAACATCAACAGACGGGTTAGATAAAGTGCATTCGCTTCGAAGGGATTCCATAATGAATTTCGAAAATGTATGAAATTACGCGCTACAATCACATGACGTATTGAAAGTCAGCCAATGCGTTGAAGCAAAAATTGTCATTTCCAAACAATCGCCTAGCCATTTGTAACTTAAGGGTAGATTTAGAAGGAGGATGGAATGCATTATAGGTGGCAGTGACTGGCCAACAAACACCATAAGGACAAATAAAAAGTGCAAACAATTTTAATAGTATTTTTTTTTCAGGACGGACTTACTCTATGATATCAATGAAGACCACGCTTGCGCATATTCTTCGCAAATATAGCATTAATGCAGACCATAAGAAAATGCAATTAAAATTGGAATGTCTTATGAAACCTTTCGCTGGACATCATATAATAATAGAGCGACGTAAAAAATAAATCTTATTTCTTACTGTAATAATATAGTTATTTGATTTTTTTATAATTTTATGCAAATAATAAATAGTCAGATAAATCTGTGGCAGAAAATTATTACTAAAAAACTTCTAGCTATGGACAGGACTCTCTCTTATCCAGTATCGAAAGTATTAGGAAAAAAATATTTTTCTAGTGAAGTTAAGAATATGAAAATATCTTTTTGTAAAACAAAATCAACAGGGGGCTTGAAAACATGATTCAACATACATCACTGAGAGGCTCGGAGCTTACCCTAAATTAGGGGTGACTAGGTCATAGTCAACCATGCTGGCCCAGCGCGAGTTGACTTTACATATATTTTTGTATTTCTTCTCGGATATGTGCAGCATCCCGACGTTTTCCTTCACCGTAAGAACTAGATATAAGTACATATGTAAATCGAAAATTGAAAGACACATTGTTACATGGCGGGATTCGAACCCCGGACCTGCAGATTGCAAGTCAACAACACCGACGCTCTCGGAAAACATGATTGTCGCATTTAATCATATTTTCCAATAATATACCACAGATGATAAGGGTTTTTTTTAATTTTTCATAAATGAAACCTTTTATAAAAACATTGATAAAAATCAAAATTGAAATTTTTGGGTGTCTGACTGGCCGCCGTCGCCGTGGGTTTAAGAAAAAGGAAGGAGGATAAAGAACGTAATACAAGTAAAACATTAATAAAAACAAAAAAAAGGGGGAATTTCCTTAAAAAAACACAAAGATAACATGTTTTTATTCAATTAAAGTCAACGTTAAAAATATTAGCATTTTGCAAGTGAGGTTATAAAAATTAAAACGATAAAAACTTGAATCATGAAAACACATTTATTAAACATTAAAATATTGCCTTTTGTATGTGGAAGGAAATGAAAAGAAAAAATAATTTTAATTAAGAAATTGAATATTATAACAAACACTTATTTCTAAGGCCCTTCGTACACAAAGCATCTTAGAAACCAGGCGGTTTTACTCGTTAAGGCATTTCTATTTGTCATCGGCAAACCTCGCAACCTGCTTGTCAAGATGATGTGAAATACGCTGGGATTTTCAAGATGGCGGATCAAATAAATTGACAGTTTCAGTTGACAATTTACGGACTAGATAATTGACAGTTGACATGTAGTCGTTATGCTTGTGACCAGACGCGTCGACGATTCAAGCGCGTGGGCAACGCGACATGACTTAAGAATGCAATATTACTTAATTTACGTTACCTGTGTACGAAGGGTCTAAGGCATACTGCTACAGATAAAAAATTTAAATTAAATACATATTTTAGTATTAAAAATAATTGAATTGTTACATTATTATTAAGAGTAGATATAGTCTATGTCACAACATTACGAATCTATTAACTTTATATGGAAAATAAAAGTAAGTAAAATCTTTCACGTTCAATTGAAATTTAAAAATATATGTAAATCTAATCAAACAATAATAAATAAATGTTTTGTACCTTAAAGAAATGAAATAACAAAGTTCTTTTTTTAAAACTAATGTACATTTTCTATTTTATAAGACATTGTAACAACCTTTCCTGAGTTAAAAAGCATAAATAAAAGTTCACAAAAAAAGCAATAAAACTGAAAAATATTACGAAAATTCAGAAACGAAAAAAATAATCAAACAATTAAAAATGTCATAATATTTGGTATTATTTATTAAAACATACATAAGCAAAAATAAAAATATAGGTTTTTATTCTTATTGGGCAAATTAAACTTGATACGGGAAAAGAGGGTTGTCATCTGTTTAAAAACGCAGCCTACAAATATAACAGAATAAAATTAATTCGCATTTTTAAATCATCCAGAATGATCTTTAAAAATATATGTACCTAAACACTTATGGGTTAAGGACACTGACCTCTATAAATGGACAGGCTATAAGACGTAGTCATTCGTGCCTATTTGATTTTCACCATTTTGACGCTGATGATAGCGGTTTGTAACGGATAAAATATATACAAAGCGAACTCCAAAAATGTATAGAAGTGACCATAACTTCCGATAAGTCAAGTGATTTTCACGGGTCAGAGAGGTTAGACAAAGTGCATTCGCTCTGAAGCGATTCCATAGCTAACCTCAAAAATGTAAACTGACAATAACTTCTGACAAGTCACGTGATCGCCGCGCGTCAGTTTCATACAATTTTTAAGTTCGCTATGACATCGCTTAGGAGCGAATGCACTTTGTCTAACCCCCAGTTCTATACATTTTTAAATTCGTTATGGAATCGCTACATAGCGAATGCACTTTGTCTAAACCCCAGTTCCATATATTTTTGACATTCGTATTCGCTTCAGAGCGAAGGCAATTTGTGACCCCCGCAGGTGCGTTCAAATCGGATCGAAGAATCGATTCAAAAGCTGTCATTTTACACAATCGCCTATCCATATATAGAGATCAACGGTTAAGAAAGATTGTATTATATGTCATAAATAAATAACACTATTATAACGAAAGTAAATTGTAAATAACATAACCTCTCTAATATTGCAATAAAATATGTTCATCAAGTATTTTCTCGAATTATATTCGAAATTACACGAAAACAAAACACGACTAGCATCGTAATACTTTCAAATTCATTATAATGTCAAATATTGATAAAATAAATCGTTCTAAAATGTTAAGGGCAAACATACACGAACTTATTTTTTATACGGACATAACTTTTGATTGATTTTCGATTTGAAAACAGTCCGTGTATGCTGCGTTAATTAAATTAATTATAACTTATTTTATGTGATTTTATCCATCGCAATTGCATACATTTCATACATCTTAGTTCACAGGCCAAGTGACGAAGATTCTATTTTAAAAGTAAAAAGAAAACAAACATTATTTGTATGTAGTAAATGTTAACACATATTTATATCTTTAATTAAAAAAAAAAATATTCTTTCAAATTTATTTTTTAATTTTTTTAGTTCCTTTGTTAATTTTGTAATGTTAAGTAAAATACGATAAATATTACGAATAATAATATTTTATTTTACTGTAGTCATATCGAGCCAAATTAACATTATTTGAAATATATTTTTTTTAATTTAAGCGCCAATTTGCACGAGCGCTTTTTTTAACTCGACGTTTAAATTCGGCTTTAAAATTGCCCTTGTTTCGTTCGCCCAACGCTCAAAATGCAACACTGCGGGATAAAAAACCGTCGAGTTTTACAGCGATGGCGTAAGAACAGATGAACTTTTTAACGCGTGTTAAAAACGCCCGTGCGAATGAATAAAGGTTTTGTATGCGAAATAATATTAATAGTTTTAAAATAGAACCTCGTGAAGTAACACTAAATCACAGTCTATGTAAAATACATTAGTAAGATAAATTTTAACCTAAACTCTATACATAGTTCAAGTCAACTTGGCACGTGGCTTGAAGGTTACCGTACCTTTACGTCGCCCAATAGCTTTACTAAAATATATTATCATCTCTCTCATTCTCTTTGAATAAATAGAGATAGCAATATGTTTTTTTAATCGTACTTTGGAAGTGAAAACGATTATTATGAATTGTATTTTCATTTTTAATAGACTCTTCATGCCAAGATTCGTTGAACTATCTATACACAAGAGAAACGTCACTGTCAAAGTGACGTTGTCAAAATGTCACTGTCAAAATGACGATACTAATATAACTATATATTTATTTTAAAATTACACAAAATACATTCTAGAAGTGTCAACCGGCTGAACAATTTTATGTGTTCGATTTTTTTAACATCCGTGAGTTTCCGCTGCGGCAAAAGTAAAACATATTGTTATGTCACTCATTCCCTTTGAAAGGAACAAAGATAGCATTATGTTTTTGTACATTTGTCAACAGTGGAAACTCACAAAATAAAAATAATATTAACAATATTTATTACTTACATATTAACCCGTATCGTATCCGAATCTCAAAACTAAATACAATTATTGTTTTATTCAAAATTATTCTTAAAAAATCTCAACTTAGTGACTTTATTTATTTCCCTTAATAAGATCAAAATATGTACAATATTATTGTTTAAAAATATAACATGATGCTTTAAACCATACATTCTTTATAAAATATCTTTTACAACGACTTTCCATCGGAATACTAGTACAAAAACACAATATCACCATCTTTGTCATATTCTTTGAGAAAACAGAAATAGACATGTTTTTGTATTAACGTATAAGCAGAATATCATGGTTAACGTAAGGAAAAAATGTATATTCTAAATGAATACAAATTATACATTTCAACTTTTGTACAATGTGTATACAAATCGTACATTCATTTAACTTACAAATTACAGTTTAAGTGTTGAATTATTAATAATACAATTTGTTCGATTAGAAATCTGTTAAGATCACAAATACAAAGAAATATCCTAAGAAAACATTTAAAAGTCGTTCATAATTATGTTCAGTCGGGCGAGGTATTCGAAGTCACTACAAAAGTTTAGTTTAATAGTTTAATTTTAGTTTTATAGTCTCTAATAGTAGAATCAAACTAATAGTTTCACTGAACTAACAAGACGCAGATAGTTGCTTTAATCAATTGATTTGGACGGTTTCACTTTGTCCTTTTTATCTGAGCTGCTCTGGCTAGTCCTGTAAGAAAAGTTAGCATAAGAAAAGGTTGATAGTTTTATCTATAAAATATCATTTGTGCAGATTATAAATAAAGATGTCTATGAGTGAGAAGCAGTCACTTTGCTGTTATAGTTATGTCTACGGCTTGCTATAAATTATAGAAAGAATTGAGCGTGGGTCTGAACATGATTATTAGTAAGATTGAGAGAGATACAGGAAGAGAGGAAGAGAAAATAAGTCTTATATATAACTTACCAGTGAAAGCTTAACCGTCACAACATGTGGCACAGCCTGCCTTTGTGTTTGGAAGTCTTGCTAGGCTGGCTGGTTTCCGGGCTGGTCTCGGGCACGACGGTGCAGCGGCTGTTCTTGTCGCTCAGCACCGTCGTCGGCATCTTCTCTCTCTGCCTCTCTTCGGCCGGGCAGTTTGGCGCGTAGAGGGATCTGCAGGAGGCTTTAGGGTCATTTTGTTTTAACTAATATTTCTATTATACTTTATACTTTGATGACGATGTAAACTTATAGTTTTTATTTAGGTTTATACTAAAGTATACAATCCTTACCTAGTAAATTTATTTCTCGGCGGGCGCGACGGTAGTGTGCTCGGCTTTGGTCTCCTCAAGGAATAAGTTTTCTTCACAAGAGCCATGTTGCTAGTTTCTTGGATAGGTTTTGTGCAGTTTAATGTTGTGACAGTCAATTCCACGTCTTTTATTGCTTCGTTTGATGCTAGAAAAATATGAAATTCAATAACACTTCTCTAGTACATTTTGTAAAAACAAAATATAAGCTTAGTGTCTCTTTGCCACACCAGTAAGTTGTGTAGATTTTGTATGAGAAATGTACAACAGAACTATTTAGTTAGCCACAAAATGAGTGTGCATGGATGTAACATAATGGTTAACAATTACAAATTATGATTTCTAGCTCAATTATACGATATTTAAACATATTTTTTAAATTAATTACTAGCCACTCGATGAACTTGTCTTACAGATTAATTGCTCGCAAAGAGTCTGAATTGGTTTCTTATTATTATTATATCATAACGTCATCCTTCGATATGCTCCAAAAGCTGCCAGTGACAAATAAATTATTTACTAAATTAAGAAATTGCCAAATTATAATAAAAAATAAAAAATCGTAATATTGCACAGATTGTATACAATGATGTGATTGTATACATATTGTACACTATGTATACATACCAGTGAATTCTTCGATCGGTTTGTCGATGGTATCGTGGTCTATCCAGGTGAGACCCATCTCGACCTTCTCTGCGAGGTCCTGCCATCGCTGCCTGTTCTCCATAGTGCCGGAGTACAGCGGTTGTATCCAGGGGAAGGTATCAGATAGAACTTTGTACAGCGGCAAGCAGATCATATCTATGAAGCCTACTTGCATCTGTGGGAGCTCGTCTTTCTTTTCCCTGGAAAATAGTCGTTTGTTGAAGGGTTAAAATCTTACTAATTTTATACACGCGAAAGTTTAGATGGATGGATGTTTGTTAGTAGATAGCTCGAAAACGGATGCATGTATCTCGCGGACGAAATCCCGGGCAATTGCTTATTTATAATACCAACATGGTGGTCAATACTCATAGTAAACAAGGATCACATAACTTTTCAGACTGTAACCATAACTAGATAGTAAATCTTAGGTTTCAGGACTTTCCAGAAACATATCTAGTAGGAATAGTTACCTGTCCATCATAGCAATTGGTTGTTGATTCAGCTGCAGCTTCTCCAGGTCGCCCTGGTCGAAGAACTCGTCAGCCACCAGCTTGGCCACCTTGTGCTGCACCTCCCAGGGTTTGGCTATAGCTGACACGTCGCATGCCGTCATCATCATGCCACAGAGTACTGTAACATAGAGCTAACAAATTAATAACATGAACAACAACATAATCACGCTCGTTATCCAGAGGGGTTGACAGTGACCTAAGAAATTTGACGCGTTTCTGACACAAAGTAAAATCTATTTAATAAAGTAAAATACCTCTTTTTATCGTTTTATAAACAGATTTGCAATCACGCTTAAACTTTTCGTTATATTCCTTCTTGCTTTTCTTCATTTTGCTTAGCCTAGGTCTAGAAAGTTCTCCAATACGGTCTATAACTAGGCTGCCTCTTATATCTAACAGTTTTGCGCCTAAAAGTTAATTCAACTTACACTCCTTCTTCTCAGGACTCTGCCAGTCGAACTCCCCGTTGTCAACCAGCTCCAGGAACTTGGACTTCTTCTTGAAGTACATCGCGAGGTCAGTGGACAGGATCGCAGTCTCCACAACGCGCATCACATCCTTGTAGTCGCACGGTGATAGCGCCTGATAATTACCAATAAAATCATAAATATATTTTCAAAACGAGTTTTTCTTTGTAAAATTATTTATTCTAAGTTTATTTCATGCTGACATAATATTGTTTAATGTATATTATTAATAGTTTTTCTTTGGTAATCTTCTACATTTAAATTAAAATATGTGTACGTTTGTCTGTCATGCGTTTCTAAATCCAGTGCAAAGATTTAGATGAACTAAACACATGGACACAAACCTAATCCAGAATCTAAATCCCAAGAGAAATTTCCTAAAATTCTGTGCGGTAGGTTTAGAAAAAGATAGGAGACAAACTTAAACGAAGATTTTCATTTATATGTATATTACATGGTTTGTTAGTCAAGAAATAATTCGTAAGATTTTTATTGATTTGTTTTTCTTTAAATGGATGATTTCGGATTTATTTTTAATCCCAAGCGAAACCGGAGCGGATTGGTAGTATACAATAAAGTATGTATATGTCGCCCGCGACTCAGTCCGCACGGAATTAAAAACAAACTTAATTAGTAGCCTCTGTATTCTTCCAGATTATGTTCTACATCTATGTCAAATTTCAGTGAGATCTATGCAGTCGTTCTGGAGATACCTCAAACACATATCAAAACATTCGCATTTATAATATTAGTAAGAAATTAGTTTACCTGGAAGATATTATTACTCTCGCTGTTCAATATCATGACACACTGATCAAAATGATGGTGTTCCATCGTAGACGTGGAGTATAAAATTGCAAGTGGACTTTCGGTCTTGGTCTGGAATGCGTTGTTGGTCCCCCTGTGGTCCAGATCATGGCAGAGACAGGCGACCAGAAGACCGAGGATCTCCAGGTCTGACATGAACCTCTCCATCTTTCCTGTCTTCAACATCGCGAACATTGTCTGGGCTACGTTGAGTGCGTGTCTCCAGTTGTGGTATTTCACTGGTCGATAATTTTTCTTAACGCTTAATATCCATCTACATAATACCTAAGAAAAATATATTTATACACTTAAATAATAGTTTTAATATCAATTTCTCATACTAAATGATTGCTTAAAGTCGCAAAAAAAGACAACCCAATGTTAGAATCTTTTATCATAGGTGTATGCAGGATAGAGTTATAAAGAAATCTGTAATTTCTACTAGCTGTCGTGACTTCGTCTGCGCTAAATATAATAAAAACTTAGTAAGTAGCGTATTAATTAATCCCCACAGTAATCTATCTCTGTGCTAATTCAGATCAAGATGCATTAAGCCGTTTTGGTGTTACGTGGTGACAATCATCCATACATCTAAACTTTCGCATCTATATAAAAGAAAGTCGTGTTAGTTACACTATTTATAACTCAAGAACGGCTTTACCGATATGCCTGAAAATTGTTGAGGAGGTAGCTTAGAGCCAGGAGACGGACATAGTATACTATTTAATCTTTTTTTTCGAATTTATGCCTTGAAGAGTTGCTTTTTATTTAACTTACTAATTTTATAAATGCGAACGTTTAGATGAATGTGATGTGGATGGATGGATGGGTGGGCTACACTAATTAAGTTTTTTTTATATATCCACGCGGACGGAGTCGCAGGCGACAGCTAGTTCATAGTATTAGTAAGATAAGACGTAAGATTACTTACATCGTAAGGTATATGAAATTTCTCGACCAGATTACACTGCAGGAACATTCGTAATGTCGCCCTGCACGTGTCCTCGTCTGACAGATCGAAATCTAAAAACGTTTAAATTCATTTTAATACTATAAAACATCATGCACTCGCTTGTAAAAAATCATAAAATTATATAATATTTAATATCGAATTATGATACATATTGATTCAAATGATTTGACATCGATTCAAACAATTTGTACATCTCGTTTCAAACGATTTATACATCGATTCAAACGACTTTATGTTTATTGTTTACCGTGAAATTTAAAGCTATACAGATTGTAACTGTCTGCAGAAGGAATGATATCTTGACTCAATTTGTTTGTGTCTTCTGCTGAAGCTGTGGCGTGGTAGGACAAACATTCTAGTGCAACCTGGAAATAAAAAAAAATCTGTGGTTAGGTTACTTTATCAAATACATTAAAAAATCTCTACAAATTGTATTATTTTTAATCACAATGCCTCTCTTTTCATTTCTTTTATAACTAATTTTCATTCTCTTAGTATTTATTTAGTATTTTGTTTTATATCATAATGTGGCAAACGACCGAGCGGCCACCTGAAATCGCTGATATAGCGAATTGACCTTTGCCCATATATATACGCAATTGCATATGCGTTGCCTACCTTTAATCCACGGAGGAGAGGATGTACAGAAAGAAAATATCTTCCCTTTCCATTCATCCTCTCATCTGGAAAGTCCACTTTCACTTCCCATCCTTCCCTTATAAGAAAAAGGGTAGGAAGGGAAAGAGGACTAAATTAGGCCTCCGAGATGGCCGTTAACTTTTATCCTAGCAACAAGAAGTAGTAGTAGTAATTGCCGAATAATTAATTGCCGAACTTAGAATTGTTAATTGAAAGTTACTTCATTTTGCTGTCTTATAATAAATCTACACTTAGGGAGACTATTTAACGAATGCAATACTTAATTAAAGCTTAGTTATGTGATAATTATTGGTGTTTTTACCTTTTGTTTGGCCATAAGTTTGCAAGCGTTCTCATACATTTGTGTATTATGTATGCCGAGGCCACAGAAAATGGCGAACGCTTCGAAAATCGATATATCCCCGTCCGTGAACTGAGAACTGTTTTCCTGCAAATTATAATAGATATATGCGTTTAAACTTTATTAGAAAATTAGCTGTCGCACCCTACTGCATACGCAGAATTAAAAGAAACAACTTAATTAGTAGCCTAAGTGTTCTTCTACTATGTTCTACATCTATGACAAATTTCAGCGAGATACATTGCGGCGTTCTAGAGATACCTTCAAACAAACATTTATCCGTCTAAACCAGTGGTTCCCAAGCTTATTTTGTCTACTGCCCACTTTGAGAATAAATATTTTTAGCGCCCCCGTATTTTCACATATTTAATAACCACTATAATTTCAAATTAAATTAATTTATTATTGTGACCTATATATGTATATTAACGGAGAATTCTAAACGAAACTTTTACTATAACCCGCAACTTGAGACCTGCAGCGCCTACAAGGGGGCGTTATCGCCCACTTTGGAAAAGACTGATCTAAACATTCACATTTATAATATTAATAAGTAAGATTTAAACTCTATGTCAGTTCAATGTAAAAGCTAATCGGTTTTGAGTCTCACTAGCATTGTAATTACATTAAGCACCTAATTTGCGACTCAACCGAGAAGTGTTGTATCTCCAAAGAAAAAAAAAACGGAACACTTATAGCATCACGTTGTTGTCCGTCCGTCTGTCCAGATGTATCAAGCTGGAGTTTATAAGAGAAGGTGACAAACGAGCGACGAGAACACAAAGGTCAATCAGACCTATGGACACCCACAACAGAGGAATTGCAGATGCGTTGCCGGAGTATTTTTTTTAAGTATGGTGGGACGTCTCATGTTTTCTTTGGGATAGTTACCTTGTTAATAAGCTGCGCCACACCGATGACATCTTTGTTAGCGTTGACAATTGGCATGCAGAGCATAGTGCGCACATTGCTGGCATCGTCAGGTGCCGCTTCGCCCAAACACATGTTATCTCGTCGCCATTCCTCCACGTCTGATATGTTCAGCGCTTTGTTTGACTGCGCTACCTACATAAGTTTGTACAAGACAAGATAATATTGTATATTTGGATTGATTCATGGGCGTCGTCAGACGATGATCTAAACAAGCTCTGTCAGCTATTAGTAATATATCTTCTTATAGGTCTTATTCAAAAGGGTTTTATAATTATCTAGGGAATAGCTGCCCTTTCCTACCTTCCCCTGGTGACGCCAATGGGATTTTTTGTAAATATTAGCAGATTTTTGCGATTTTATTAACATTACTTGTACCATACCAATTAAGCTCTATGCTTGTGCTAGGGTATTGTTTACGACAATAGTCGAATGTCGGGATTCGAAATCTGACCACGTGATCGGAAATCCGTACCCTTAATCCTAATGGTTGGGTATTGGCGCTTTCATTTTCGTTTATTATTCGAAATTATTGAGTAATTAATTGTAACTCACACTTGAAATAGAAAGATGAACAAACTAATGCATAGAAGATTTCATTAGAATTTAAGTCGAATAAGATGGAACAGACTAAGATGGCGTTGTTGTCAAATTTCAAATTTGTTAAATTATCAATTGAATCTTTTATTTAAGCAAGTCAATGTCGCAGCCGCGATTACAACCGACCCTTTCCTATAATCGACACAGGTTTCTGACTAACATCGTTTTAAATAAAGTGGGAACTTTGTATTACCGCAAGTGCAATGGACGCCAACGTAGACCGGTTGTCATGTCGCGGTGTGAGCGTGGTCTTGGAGTGTTCAGCGCCGAGCTCGAACAGCGTGTGGAAGCGAGTCGGTGCGGGCGGAGGCAGCGCTAAAGTCCCGCTGCGCTGACCGCCCGGCCGTTGTACAATGCGTTCTAGATGACTCTGAAAATATACGAAAATCATTTAGGAAAAGGTTTATATAGGTAAAGTTAAAAGGATATATAATCTTCCTAAGTTCATCCAGTCTAATACCCTTCCCCATCTTAGTATCAGGTCAATTTAATCAATGACTTTAAATCACACGTAAGCCTTTATAGAGTATTAGCTAACGCCCGTGGCTCCGTTCGATAGGTATAAAAAAAACTTAATAAGTAGCCTAAGTGTTCTTCAAGACTTTATTCTATATGTATGCCAAATTTTATTAACATCGGTTCAACCGTTCCGGAGATACCTTCGAACAAACATCCATCCATCTAAACTATAACAATTTTAATATACTAGCTGTCGCCTGCGACTCTGTCCGCGCGGAATTAAAAAATAAAACAAAATTAGTAATCTACGTGTTCTTCCAAACTATGTTCCATATGTGTGACAAATTTCATCCAGATTCGTTTAGTCATTCTAGAGATAACTTCAAACAAACATCCATCTAAACATTCGCATTTATAATATAAATAAGAAGTAAGCCTTGATGAAACTCTATTTAATCAAGTCTATTTTTATTAATTACCGATTCACAATGATCCGTATCCAACAAGAAGACGGCACATCTTTCACATTTGAGCAACTCTCTCGCCTCCGTCATTATCTTCGTCACGAGACATTCTAGATTACTCTGTTCCTCAAATATACTTCTAGCTAATGCTAGAAGTATCTGATTCCTCTTATACTCGAGCACAGAGGATTCGAAGAGTTGCGCATTCTGTATACCTATACCACAGAATGTGAGGTACCGTCGGAAAACTTCCACGTCTCTTGCTGAAAATTCCTTTGAACCTGGAATAAATAACATACTGTATATCAATTCTATGCCTAACTGTGGGTTTCTAAGACCAACATATCTGTATAAAACATATCGTCATCCGTGTCATCTTTGATAATAGATAACAATATGTTTTAAACGGAGATTTTGGTCTCAAATCAAGTGTAAAAAAATAGAGGAATCTCATATACAATGCATTACATTATTTTATTTTATAACAGAAGGGGGCAAACGAGCAGAGGGAGCACCGAGGGATTCAACGACGGCCATGGACATCAACAATAACAGAGCAACTGCAGATGGGTTCATAGATTCTTTTAGTTTTTTTTTTTAATTTTTTGTGGATACTTTTAGTGCTATGAAGTAACAAGAATTGCTAAAAATTGTGGAGTTGAGTAAAAAAATTGTTTAACAGAAAATATTTTTGGAATTTACGACTTTTAGAAAAAAAGTATAGTTTGGTAGAATGAAAATATTGCGGTTTTATAATCTAGTATATTCACAGATTAAAGTAATCAAAGTTTATTTTCATAGCATAAAAAAAATTCGTATGTTTCTGAAAAATATATCGTCCATGACATGAATTGATAACAAAGAGCATCGGCCATTTTATTCTCTCCTAGTATTCAGATCACGTAGCTACGGATTTGATACTTTTGAATTCAAACCAAGAATTTATTATAAGTTCACAATGCTCGCTGGGATTTGATAAAAAAGATATTCAGAAAAAAAAAACCTATTCTACTGAAATATATATAGAAAGAACTCCGTCCGCGCGTTATTAAAAAAACGTAATTACTAGCCCATGTTTTCTACTAGCCTATGTTCTACATCTATGCCAAATTTCAGCGAAATCCGTGCAGCTGTTATGGAGATCATCATCAGCTCACTATACGTCCCCATCGAGAGGTTCGGAGCCTACCCTAAGTTAAGAGTGATTAAGCCATAGTCGACCACGATGGCCAAGAGCGGATTGGTTGACTTCACACATATCTTTGAATTTCTTCTCAGATATGTGCAGGTTGCATCACGATATTTTCCTTCACCGTAAGAACGTCGGATAAATGTACATATGTAAATCGAAAAACACATTGGTAGATGGCGGGATTCGAACCCAGGACCTGCAGATTGCAAGTCAAGTGCTTGACCCCGAGCACCAACGCTCTCTCGTTATGGAGATACCTTCTAAAAACATCCATTCATCTTTCCAAACATCCAAACATCCGCATTTATATATTTTATCTCTGTTACCTAATAGGATAGAGAATTTTTTTTTAATTTATTTTCGAACATACCAAAAAGGAAACAATTTCAACACCTCATTACGCTAAGCTCTTTGTGAAACTAATTTTAATACATACCATCTGTTTTATTTATAATCTGTGCCACACCGACCACATCTCCTTCGTAGTTGCAAATCGGCATACAGAGGATCAACTCTGTTTTATAACCTGTACGCGCGTCGATCTCACTGTTGAACCTGGAAAAGAGTTACATCTTTACATGGTGCTTTTTTGCTTACCATTACCCAAAACGTAATGATTACCAACATAGATAATTAATTTTAGGTAAACCGTAACCAACCTCTACTCATGGACAGGTTATAAACCTTAGTATCTTGTGTCTATTTCATTATCGCCATTTTGGCGTTGACGTTTTCGCTTGGTAGCAGTGATGGTTGTAAGAATAATAGAGATAGAAACAACTGACAGGGAATTCTTCAGACACGTCTATACATGACTAATTTATGAAGGAACGAGCCAATTTTAAAGACCCCTCTTTCTCATTAGATTCGTATTCATCTTGTGACGTATTCAAATCAGTCTGGTTATTTATTTTACAATTAACAAATTATCAATTTATTATTGCTTGTTTACTTGCCTTGGGTCTGCGTATGCATTTCTTATATTAATAGGATGTTTCGTCTGCGCTGCCAGTCCTGCAACACCTACGCCGAAAGGGATTCTTATCTCTTGTGTTCTGGCTGTACGAAGCGCGTCATAGAGTTCTGTGAATAAAAAAAAATGGAAGACACTTTCAAATTATTTCTATCTCAATTGTTTTAAATACGAGGACACGACGAATATGAGAGGACAGATTATATTTTGTTTTATGCCAGTATTTTGGGAATGACAATTTATTAGATTAAAAAAAAATTACAACTTAATTTTTTGACACTTAAACGTAATTTACGAAATCATTCAAAATTAATCTCGTGAAATGCAATAGAACTGATATTTTTCCTTCTTTTTATAGAAAGTGCTGGATAAAAGAAAGAGAAAATGTTCTACAATTAGGCTTTATAATATAAAAAGGAACTCAATAAAGATAAATGGCAGAAGATAGTCCAGCGAGGCGTCAATTCCTTTTACAGTTTTTATCTCTCACTTAAATTGGCATTTTATTTATTTTACTACGAGAACGCACAGAGTAATGTGCGCACAGATAATGTAATTCCTGTATTAAATAGTGAATGATTTTTGGTATTAAAAATTATAAGGAAACAAAAATGTCTCTTTTTTATAATATGTACAGTCAGCTGCATTAATATATATACATTTTAAAAACTTCGATTTCAATAATATGTAGACACGTGTCCGTCTTAATGCTTCTAACTGTCTAATTAGTGCACAGATCTTTTGAAAATCGAAGACCTATACAAGTTTCTTAAAACTTGTAAGTAAATTTATGCAGCTGACTGTACCGTAAAAACGCCATCTCGGGGGATTCAGTAGAGGTAAGCGTCCATTGGCCGAACTGGACGCACCGCACGTACGGCCCGCAACGAATTTTAAGACAAGGAAGGGAAAAGTAAGACAAAGCTCCGTGCGTGCGGTGCGTCCGGCGCGTCCAATGAACGTGTACCTCAAATTTGCCGCGAGTACTGAAACCATAAATGTTGGTTACGTTCCATAGAAAATTTAAGATTATTAATATATTAAGAATTTTTCATTAACTAATCATTGTTTAGTAATGTTGCAATACAAGTTACGACAATGGAGACGCACCGTAACATTAATTCACAACACGTGTGGTCCGAGTTTGCGGTTTTAATATCTTAAAAACCCATTGTGTTTGATCCATTGTGTGAGTAGTTAGGTAGCAATGGATTTCAATAGAACTATTAAAATTTTATTCGATATTGATGGATCGTATTAATGATTCGATTCGATCAAGGAAACAAGAGAACATTTTATCGTATGTAATCCTGTGCACTGCCAAAACACTAGATATATTTATATTCTTTGAATAAACATACTTAAACATTTTAATAATGTTTTTCGGGTGAAATATAATGTTGAGAAGAAAATCCGACACTGTGACGGTGTAGTGGCGCAACTAGCCTTTACGTTTATGGCCCCTCACTAATCATTGACACTTGACTTTGTAAGGAAAGCGCGTCATTCTCGCTAAAGGATTCTTTCTAACCAATAATGTCTAAAAAAAGGTAGGCTTCAGTGTTGATGGATAAAATGTTCCTACTGGTCGATTGATTAGTGGGATTTTTGGCAAACGAACTCATAGAATCATTACCCAATGTAATCCAATCTATAGAATGATCTGTATGCAGAATTGCCGAACGATAAAAATCCGATTGCGCAGTTCTTCATTTTCATTAGTATTGAATTATGAAATAAGTACTCTCTCACTTACCCGTGTCTCTGGTTACATCGAAGAGTTTAGCTTGAAGATATCTATTGGGTGGAATTCCTTTAGCTAGGAACAGACTGCCGCGATCTGCTGACGTCAGCAAGCATACGTTCACCAAGATCTGTGGAAGACGTAATAAAGGATGAAATTAGAGATAGATTTTTTTTAATATTAGCTATTTTTTGCTAATTTACTAATAGTTCTTGTAGCATTCCAACTAAGCTCTATGCTTGTGTGCGCGACATGATATACGACACTAGTCGAATGGCGGGAATCGAACCCAGACCACGCGATCGGAAATCCGTAACCTTAACATTTGGCTATTGATGCTTCAACGCAGATATTTATTATAGGTGTTATAACTATAGGAATCCCTAAGGGTAAATTTAATAAAATTAAACATTAAGCTACCCTGAGTGCGGCTTATAAATCAACAACCAAGTCTGTGTCAGATAAAAATATAGAAACAGTCTTATTCTGACATTCCCCTCTAACACAGCCACATAATCACGGCTCGATTAATCTTTGATATTAAAATTATCCAGCCAAAGAAAACTTATCTTTATTGCTTACAGAATAAGGTGTAGTTTTGAAATATAAGTTATTTCCTAGAGGGTTGAGCCCGATTAGCATTTTCACTCGACTCGGGAATATTGTATGAAAATTGGCTTCAGGATTCAAGCCATATGGAATTATCGAGACTATATGAAATTGACTTCTTTCTACAATAACGTTTTAAAAACCTTTATTGTGTAGTAAAAAACTTTTATCATGTTTTATTTACTGATCTTTTTAGAGGTTAGTTTTCTGATATGGCGGCTTTGAAGTTCACGCGAATCGATGAACAGAACACAATTTTGAGTCTAACGAAAGGCAATGCTCTACTTGGTGCTGACATTGAGCTGTCAAGATTTTTGAAGATAACTATACAAGTTGAATGCATGTGTTTCGTTAAATTAGAAGTGACATTCTCGTCTTTTTTGTTTAAAGCGCCTGAAGAAAAATAATTTCAAAAACTCATTTTGTATTTTTAAAACAACAAGCTTCTAATAAAACTTATTCAACTAAATAAGTATACTTAAAGAACAAAAGTAATTGTGGTTTTATAAAGAATTACAACATAACTTTTAAAAACGAAATACTTCAGTCACGAACGAAGAAGAAATAAAAACGTAACAATGTTAGGGTAAAGTTTAATTTCGCAATTTCGAGAAAAATTTCATTTACGTAATGAAATTTCGTTGCAAATGGAAAAGTCATTAAAAGATTGCCAAAGTAACTTCAAACTATGGATAAAAATATACTTTTATAACTATTATAAGTCAAAGGCTTGTAAGATTGTTTGCCATTTTTTTTCCTCAAAAAAAATAAATTAAAAACGTGAAAAAACTGTATAATATCACACATATACTTTTTTATATTAAAAGATGTAAAACGAGCAAGCGGTCACCTGAAATCACCAAAATGGCGAAACGACCATTGCACATAGACATTCGCAACAGCAGAGTCGTTGCCTACCTTCAAATCGATGTAGGAAGAGACGCACAGAAAGACAATATTTTCCCAGACTATACGTCCCCTCCTTTATTAAATCCACTTCCTCTATTCATCGTTTATAAGAGAAAGGTGGAAGGGAAAGGACTAAAATAAGGCCTCCGAAAGCACACTACTATTTGGCAAACGTAAACGTTGATGAAATAAATGAATCAATAACGCATTATCGATCTGCCCTTATCCCTACAAAGGGTCGGCACATGTATGTACTATTCCATACATCTCTATCAGCCATCATATCTGAATCTACCCCCGTACATACATCCTCTTTCACCCAATCTATTTCTTTGGTCTTCCTTTACCTTCGAAAATCCGACACTGTCCCGGTGTACTGACGCAACACTAGCCTTACTAAAATGTCGACGTTTATCCCCCCCCTCACTAATTAATCTGACACTTGACTTTGTAACGAAAGTTCGTCATTTGCACCAAAGGATTCTAATAATGTCTAAAACTACATACAATATCATTAATTTTTCGTTTTTTTATTAACACGTTAACATAATAAAATAAAAAACAAAATCCTAATGACATGTTCTCACTAGAAATGTGACGGTAAAAACTCGGCTAGTATTTCATACGTGGGTTTAAAGAAATGTCTACGCGTATGAAAAAGGACAACTTTAACGAGTTTAATCCACGTGACAAAGGTTTAAGCGGTACATTAAAACGAGTATTAAGTTTTATAAAAATTATTTGTATATATTTTCACACGGTAGATTTAAAACGGGCCATAATATAACATGTTCGCTATTCATAAAAAAGAAAAGTCGAATGTTTAGATGGATAGATGGATGTTAAAAAAAACCGTACCTTATGACATAATACATCAATATCCAGTTCATTGGCGACGTCTTTGATCAGGTCCATAAATAGATCTGCTTCATCCAGCTGCCTCTGTGCGGAACTGCTCGGCGATCGCGATCTCTGAAAACAAGAAACAATTGTAACGTTTGGAACAGAGAAATATCTGTAAGATGTAGAAACAAGTTGCACTTGTAACATCAAAAACGAGAAACACTTGGAACATCGGGAAACAAGAAACACTTGTAACATTTGAAGGCAAGAAACAAAAAAATAACAATTTTATTTAAATAGTCATTAGTATGTAAGATATTGCTATTTTGTAATTCCAGGCGCGTAATGGACTGAACGCTTAAAACATCTTTTTTGCAATAACAAGACTTTCCATTTCCTTCAGACACTCGTAAAGAAGAAGATTGCAAAATGAGATTAACTCTTGACAAATACCTACGCTTTCCCCAAAGGTACGTTTTAATTATTGAAGCTTTTAGTCAGGGGAAAAACGTAAATTGAAATGGATTTGTGGAAATAAAAATAATTATTCTAAACCCAAATTAGACGTAAATTAAAATAAAACGGATATGTTCTCAAAAGACAGTCTTATAAACAAAGGATTAGACTGTTTTAGTGACAAACTAATTAAGGGTTGTTTGAAATACTAAATCACGACTGGATTAGTCTTAAATATGTGCATTTATCGTGGCTTTATAACAAATAAGTTCAACGTTCAAAGTGTACTTATTGACCTGGAAAATACCTAGAAAATACAGTCTAGTAAAATTGTTCCGTTAGAAAAATATTGAGACTCGACCTTTGCAAACAGTAGCCAGTCATGCAAGAATGTAAACGATAAGAAAAATAAAAATTTTAATACAGTTTTAAAGTAAATTTACAAGAAAAATCTTATTAATATTATAAATGGTTATGGCCTAATGGTTAAGGGTACAGATTTCCGATAATGAGGTTGGGGGTTCGAATCCCGCCATTCGACTATTGTCGTATACCATATTCTAGTACAAGCCTAGAGCTTAGTTGGAATGGTAAAAGAAATATTAGTAAACTTACAAAAAAATCTGTCAATATTTTTATAAAAATGCGAATGTTTGTTTGAAGGTATCTCCGGTATTGCTCAATAGATCAGACTCAAATTTGGTACACATGTAGAACATAGTCTGGAAGAAAACATACGCTACTAATTAAGTTTTTTTTATACTTCGACGCGGACGGAGTCGTGGGAGACGGCTAGTAATATCAATTTTTGAATTTTGAAAAAAATTTGTTCTCGTCTGTTTTCGTTGTAGACTGTTTAGTAAATATGGGATACTTAAGTTTTAATTGCTCTGTTTCCATAATAGCTTTGTAATTTAGGTACTTTCCAGTCTACCAGATTTGTTTGATTGTTTGAACCGATTTGAACAAGTCTTTCATAATTGGGTCTACACTTTCCTATGGTGTCATAGGCTATGTTTATTACTAGACTAGTTGTGGCCCGTCACTCCTTCCGCGATGAATTAAAAAAAAATTAGTAGCCTATGTGTTCTTCCAGACTATATTCTATATGTAAGCCAAATTTGTTAGAGATATGTTCATACAAACATCCATCCATCCATCTTAGCATTCACTTTTATAATATTAGTGAGAAGTAAGATTTTGTATTCGCGCAAACGAAGTCGAGGGCAACTGCTAGTTATTTAATAAAAGATTATGTTTTTGATTACAAATAAGTAAAAATATCGCAATTAAGCAAAAATGGTTGCAGATTGAATACTGATTGCAGTCTTTTAAGTTTAAAATCGAAAATTACTTTCGATAAAAAGGAATCAGCCGTGATAACGTGTAAGTCAAAAGATCGGAAGGTCTATATTTGATCCGACAAATTTAGAATTAAACCATCGATTTACGAACTCAAATTACGGTTCATTAGTTTAAATCAAAGTTGGGTAACGAAATCAGTTAGAAATTAGGCAAATTATGTTTAACTAGGTGTCGCGACTCCGTAGGCACGGAAAAAAAACTTAGTAACCTATGTGTTTTTCCAGGCTATGTCCTGAATTTATGCCAAATTTCATCGAGATCCATGCAGCCGTTCTGGAGATACCTTCAAACAAACATCCAAACATGTAAACTTTCGCATTTACATTAATAAGACTAGATGTCGCCCTTGACTCCGTCCGCGCACTATACAAAAAACAACTTCTAAGTAACCTATGTGTTCTTCCAGGCTATGTTCTATATCTATGCCATAGAGGGAGACTCATGTAGCCGTGCTGGACATACCTTCTAACAAATATCCATCCATATAAACATTCACATTTATAATGTTAATAAGACTAGCTGTCACCTTTGACTCCGTCCGCGCATAAATAAAAAAACTTAACTAGTAGCCTACGTATTCTTCCAGACTATGTTCTATGTCATATATTCATGCAGCGGTTAAAGAGATACCTTCTAACAAACATCTAGTAAGACTTTTTATTCCTCATTGCAAATCACGCTTAGAATTACTTTAGTAAACATATTGAACGCCGCGGGTGATTTTATTACGATGTGTTTTCTTGTTAAAAGTAATATACAACTGGACCCCTACTGTTAACGTAATGTTCCATTTTATAGGTCACATTGAATAATAAAAAAAAACTAGTTTTGCTTGTATATTTAAAAAAAAGTAAACAAACAATCAATGTTTTTGATATTTCCAAAACGCGATACAAAATTGATTCATTTTAAAGTAAAGATGGATGTATAAAGTAAAAAATGTTCTATAAAAATGATGTTGCGAAATACTGAATGAAAATTATTATCGGCAAAAAACATAGGCTACTTTAGTTTTTATTCTGCGCGGATGGATTCGCAGGATTAGTTTTACTAATATTATAAATGTGAATGTTTAAATGGACGGATGTTTGTTCGAAGGTATTAACATAGATTGACATACATTTCACCCGCATTACTTTTACGTGTATTTATTTACATCCACTATGCTTCTACGAACCAAATAATCAATCCTTAATCTCATATAAAAACTAACATTTTTGTACTGCATGTAAGATTTGTACTACATAAAAACACACAACTATAGTTATTCGAACAAGACTAGTTGTATGAAGCGAGTTAACACAATAAAGCGGTAACATGAAAGTTAAGTGCACACACGTAGCAAGCAAATACAATTACTATAGGTTTTGTCTATTCTCCATAGAATAAATAAAGATCATACACACTGGCGTTTTAAATAATATTTGACGCTGGCAACATCGTTGACTTCATCCGTGTCCAATTAAAAAAATAAGTAGCCTGTGCGTTTTACCATAATGTATTTTACTTTTGGTCCAAATTACATCTTATAAATGCGAATGTTACGACTTAGGGGCCTTCAAGAAAAGAGAGTACACCTTCGTTAAAGGCTGGCAACGCATCTGCGGTTCCTTTGGAATTGCGGATGTCCATGGGTGTCGGATCAAATAATATTAGGCGATTCGTTGCTCGTTTGCCCCCTTCTCCTATAAAAAAAATGTTTAGATGGATGGATGATTGTTAAAGGGTATCTCTGGAAAAGATGCATCGATCTGGATGAAATTTGGCACAGATATAGATCATAGACTGGCTGAACACATAACTAGTTAAGATATAAAAACATTATATTTAAAAAAAAGATATTAGGCATGAAGACTGGCACCCCACAACTTTATTTTGCCGTTGTATTTTTTTTTAAAAGTTCTTTCTTATTTTAAATCGATAATATGGATGGACTTCAAGTAAATGGTCACTCACAATTATTTTATTTGCACAGTCGTCTTTTATTATTTTTAATTATAAAAAATCAATAAGGTTTGTTTAGTAAGAACCCTCGTTAATTCAATGACTAATCGGGAACCAATCGGAATTCCATATCCATTAATTGAGATCTTATCTTGGGACTTTCGGATAATTGCGCCCCAATCTACCCCAATGTAATTATCGGTTTCAATTTGGCATTTGAATAAGCACTGATAATTTTTTAAATAGAAATAATAGTATTCATAAACTTCTTTTTTTAATTTTTTTTTCTAGCAGTCGCCTCAGACTCCGTCCGCGCGGTATTAAAAAAAGCATATTCAAAGCCTATGTTCTTCCAGATTAAGTAATGTATGCCGAATTTAAGGAATCTTACTAATATGATAATTAAATAAATACGAATGTCTGGATGGATGTTTGTTACAAGCTATCTCTAGAACGGCTGCATATATCTTACTGAAATTTAACGTAGATGTAGAACATAGCCTGGAAGAACATATAGGCTATTAATTAATTTATTTTTAATCCGCACACCCGCAAACTCAGACAATTTTACAATATAAAAGTATATAAAAACTCTAACTTTATTCAATAAAAGAATCCTTTGGTTTGCAAATAGTTGTGTGTGATTCTTTCAATGTTTATCTATACTGTATGAATAAGGTAGCGTTCTCACTGTGCAAATATTTTACAGCCTCTAGGAATAATGCCTTTAAGTAAATAAACATTAACGCTACTCTTGAAAGGGTAGAGATTGGACGATCTTTCCTATTGTTTGGAAATGGGCTACGAAATGTTGTTTATCTATGTGTTACGAGGTACAAAACAGTTGTAAAAGACATAGAATCTACAAAAACACATAGGCTACTTAAAAAAGCTGTTTTTTTTAAAACCGCGCAAACGAAGCCGTGGTCAAAAGCTAGTATTTTACTAAAAGAGGTATTATAATTTTATAAAATAAGTATTGGTAGATAATTTCAAAAGTAATTGGTAGATAAAATCATCAGATTATAATGTTCTTTTTTTATTATAAGGTAGTAAAAAATGGCCAATTGAATTCGCTGAAATAAGCGACCGTAGCCCATTGACACTTTCAATTACGGATGCGTTGCCTAACTATAATCGATGGAAGAGGGGAAGCTCGGAAATCTTTACTTTTTTTAGAAAAGTACAAACCAGCAGCGGTAACACCTTGGTGTTCATCAACGACCATGGACATCTGCAATACCAGAGGAACTGCAGATGCGTTGTCGGCCTTTAAAACTTACTAAGTTTAACATAATTATATGTACCAGAACTAGCTGTCCGCGACTCCGTCTGCGCGGGATTAAAAAAGCTTAATTAGTAGC